CGACAGTAACTGAGAACAGATACTGGACACCCCGCACTGATAAACAGAATAAATGTGGGTGGGGGCGATTCAGCACAGGAAAGGTCCTATAGACGGGGAGGAGGAGTTTAGAACTAGGGAAGGAGGGTCTGAGCTGGATGGTGGTTTCTAGTTCTGTCAATGGGATTACTCGCAGGAGTGAAGTGACACAGTGTTTGTAGGATCGAGCCCTAGGGCAGTAAATTTCTCATTTCTAAAATGCCTTTGCCATTATTTTATTGACGTTTTTATGGCCTTGGCGAGTCCATTTTCAAATTTTATTTTTATTATAACTTTTTGTTTTTATAGTTACTGTTTCCTGATGGCTGGACTCCAATACATACATGGGAAGGGAGAACATTCAGCTATTTTAATGGCTTACAGTCCGCTTTATATTTGATGTTGGGGCCACAATGGACTTTTTTACATAGTTAATGCTCTGCAAAGTGCTATTAAAGACCTTCCGATATAGGGCCTTGGGGACTATACAGCCTATAGTGGACGCTAACATTTACCAGGCTGGCACAAAAGATGACCGATAATGAAAATCAAACTAAGGGCATTTTACTTGTCTATTAACAAACTCACTCGCGTAGGACAGTGCCAACAACACCAACACAAGAACTAGGGGTCACCCAATGAAATCAAAACAAACATAAGAAAGTACTTCTTCACCCAACACACAGTCAACCTGTGGAGCTCATTGCCAGGGGATGTTGTGAAGGCCAAAACTATAAGAGAGTTCAAAAAAGAACGAGGTAAGTTCATGGAGGATAGGTCCATCAATGGCTATTAGCCAAGATGGTCAGGGATGCAACTCCATGCTCTGAGCGTCCCTAGTCTCTGCCAAAAGCGGAGAGTGGATGACGGGGATGGATCACTCACAATTACCTGTTCTGTTCATTCCCTCTGAAGCACTTGGCATTGACCACTGTTAGAAGACAGGATATGGGCTAGATGGACCATTGATCTGACCCAGTTATGGCTGTTCTTACGTTAATTTTGCAATGCTGCTATGGAATTAGGATTAGTGATTCTTCCTCCCCAGGAAAGGAGCACGTTGGCTACATAGCAATCCCAGTTTGGACACTGAGAGCTGCTCTCCTGTCACCACTAGCGCTGCACTGACACTGCAACTCCAGCACCAAACACATTTCCTAGCTTGCGTCCTTTGCCAGCAGAGACACTGAACCTGCACATTAATTCCCGACTCAGTTGCCAGGTAGCACAACAGATGCTCAGCTAGCTCACAGACACGGGGCAGACTCTGCTGTTGCTTTGCAGGAGATATTATAATATGGAGATACACGCTCCTCTTTAGTCTCCATAAATGAGACTAAAACTCGTGCATATAAAAAGATCCAGACAAAAACAGATACCATGGAAACAGATTTTTTTTTTTTGGGGGGGGGTAAATGAAACAGTGCGTCTTCAAACAATTTTAGTTTCAGGGAACACATTAGCTTATAGGGGGAAAAGAATCCAGACTGCAACTTTGTGAGTCACACACGTCTGCAAACACACTAAAAATAAAACAAAACCTTGCTGAACCAACAGTGAAACCGTGAGCACTCATGAAACACACACAATTCTTTGCTGTCAAGTATGTCAAAGGAACCGGTGATCTTTACACCCACATTTTATAGAGGATTTAGGAGCAGTTCGGTAGGAATCTGTTCACCGTTGTATTTACCAGCTGTGAAAGGAGACGTGACATGCAAGCCCCCCCTTGGATCTGATAAACAGGAGGTAACAACAAACGTAAATAGAAGGAGGTAAGTTAAAACAGCAGCAAAAGGCGTGTTTCTCATGACTGGATAAGTGCAACATACCACATGCACTATGCATGCCGCTGTCAGTCCGAAGCCTTGACTTTACCAACCAACGCCTGCTACTCATTCAATTCAGACCATTTTAGCTTTTGGGAGGGCAGTTGAGACAAGGGATCCAAGCAGGCCCACCACCACAGTCAGGGTAGCCCGAGGTGTCAGCAGAACCTCCAGAGCTAAAAAAAAAATCACAACCCTCCGTTGCTTGAGCTGAGCGACTCAGCTAGATGGTGGACCAGATGTTCGAGGGTGCACACAACACACAACTGAATGGGAAGTAGCAGGCAGTGGTGGAGGCAAAGAGTCTAATCATTAACGTAGGGAGGCTTAAGGGAAAAGTCAGAAAAGCCTTCAGGACCCACGGATGAGCACCAGTGTGGATCTATCAATGCATTCAAATGGTAGAAGACACACAGCAGGACGTCAAGCATTACCAGACATGGGAGGAAAGACCAGATATCGGACTTAACCCACCGACTTGTTCCTGAGTTACTGTCACCGTTGGAAGAGAGGTGATCTTCTCTTTGTCAGCTGGGGGCGGTCCTGTGTTTTCCAACTGTCCTAAAAGCTGCAAGGGGATGACAAACACACCATGTTTTAGAACGCAACCCAGCCTTGTCTTGTGGAATACCTCTCATTCAAGCTGTGCCTCCACACTACTCCACCACATTAACCAGGCCAGGGAGGGAGCTGCACCATAAAACATAGGCTAGTCGCTAGCTACAGGATAGGGAGGTTTTCAGACGGCATCTGAAGTTAAATGGATGCAGGTAAACTGCATCTGGCACAAACTGCAGAGGAGAAGGCTCTCGGACCACAGCAGGGAGCCAGTGCTGTATGAGCAGGGTGGGGAGGAGAAGAAAAAACCAAGAGACAGGCTGGAGGGAATGGAGAAGGATACTGGACTGAAAGGGAGTTGACAGAGGTGTCTCGCGACTGGAGGGTTGGAGAAAGATATTGTGCTGCCTGGTGGGCATAAGAAGATACACAGCAGTGTTCTGCACACGCTGGGACTTGGGCAGGCCACGAAGAGAGGAGATTACAAGTGGTCCCACTCTAGCCCAGTAATGACACCGCAATAAAATGACTGAGGTGATATCGACCCCCGTCGCTCGCCCCCTCCAGACACGGGATGGAGGCAGAGCCGAGAGGAGCTGTACGTCCACACAGAAACCAGACTGCTGCTTGTGGAATAGAGGGGGAGGTGATGTCAGCAAACGGCACCTGATGACCATAATGAGACTCTCTCCAAGCCCCCTCCCCTGGACACGTGGGATGTGGGCTCCTTTGAGGAAGCTGTGACGAAGGAGAGCAAGATGCGTTTGTGAGGCAGTTTGTAAAGCCGTGGCTAGTGGCGAACGACGGCAGATGGCCTGCACGCCATGTTCACGAGGTGCTTGACAACAGCAGGATTAGCTACCACAAAATGTTCTTGTTGCTCATCCTCTCCAAGACAGGGGAGTCATCGCCCTCCAGAGATTTGGCTCCACTCCCAAGCCAGCCCCTTCTGTTCTCATATTAGCCAAAAAAGAGCTTGTGGGGTGGTGATGGGAAAGGAATTGACCCTATTCTCCTCCAACCAAGATGCACAGTCCCTAGTGGGCAGAAGGCAATCGGTAACTCATAGCTTCAGAAGGCTCTGTAGCTCTCGAGACATAAAAGCTGCATCTGTCTGAACAGGGATCTATGCAGAGAACTGAAATCTTCAACGCAATGCCGGGACTGTCTTTTTGTTGTGCGTTTGTACAGAACCTAGCACAACCGATACCTGGGCGCTACGGTCAGACAAATAAGTGATAAGAAGTTAGCTTTGCTATCGTTAAGGTTTGCAGGACTGTTGCAAGGAACTTGCAACCTTCCTAGCAGATAGCTACACAGCTAGAATTGGCTCTCACGAAAGGCAAGGAGATGAAACAATATACACTTCAACATCGGCTTTCATACGAAGCCCTCAAAGAGCCTCTGCATTAGCAGTACAGTAATTAAGCCTCAACGCTGCCCCATTCCCACAAGGAGATCGATATCCCTGTTTTATACAGGGGAAAACAAGGCATAGAAAGAAGAGATTCACCCAAAGTCTCACAGCCAGTCAGCAGCAGAGCTGGGAACCCAGGTATCCTGACCCATCTCCCCATCCCTTTTGCTAAGAACCAGCCCAGCTTTACAAGCAGAGATGAAGCAAAAATGATCAAAACCAATTCCTCCTCCTTTACCCTCGTCCCTGTGAGTGTTCTAGACGATCATTAAAAATAGCTTAAAGCATTAGCAGCCTCATTGCTGCCATAATCAGGATCCCCTGGTGCCAAGACGTTTGTGGTGATAACTCAGATGAGTCAGAATGAAACACAGAGCTGCATCAAATTACTACATGCAACACTAGCGAGGGGTGTTCTCAGACGAGGTACTGAGGAGCCGGAGGTGGGGCTGATGGTTGTGGAACTGTGGATCCGCTGCTCTCAAAATCATTAGCCTCAAAAATGATTTAAGGGCTGAAATTAATGCCTTACAGTGAGAGACTAAAACAGACTGTTTAGCTTATCAAAGAAGATCCAAAGGGGACTTGATGGAGTTTAAGGACCTTCATGGGCTCTAACAGGGAAAGGCGTAACAAGAACCAAAGCCAGACACATTTAAATTAGAAATAAGGCCTAATTTTTTAAGTGAGAGTAATTAACCATTGGAACAAACCACCCAGGGAAGTGGTGGATTCTTGATGTCTTCAAATCACAACTGGATGCCTTTCTGGAAGAGATGCTTTACTCAAACCAGTTACTGGGCTCCATACAGCAGTAACTGGATGAAATGTTATAGTCTATGCTATACTGGAGGTCAAACTAGATGATCTAATCACAGAACCATATATATCTGTAGGGCTGGAAGGAACATCAAGAAGTCATCAAGTCCAACGTCCTCTGAAGAGGCAGGACCATGTAAACCTAGACCATCCCTGACAGGTGTTTGTCCAAGCTGTTCTTAAAAACCTCCAACAACGGGGATTACGCAACCTCCCTTGGCAGCCTGTTCCAGAGCCTAACCCCCCCTTAGGGTTAGAAAGTTTTTCCTAATATCTAACCTAAATCTCCCTTGCTGCGGATTAAGCCCATTGCTGCTTCTTCTATCTTCAGTGAACATGGAGAACAATTGGTCACCGTCCTCTTTATAAACAGCCCGTAACATATTTGAAGACTTACCAGGTGCCCCCACACTCTTCTTTTCTCAAGACTAAACTATGCCCCTTTTTTCAAACCTTTCCTTGTAGGTTTTGTCACGCTCCTCCACACCCTCTCCAATTTGGCCACATCTTTCCTGAAGCGTGGCACACAGAATTGGACACAGGTCGCCAGCTGAGGCCTCACCGGTGCCAAATAGAGCAGAACAATTACCTCCTGTGTCTTACATACACTATTTCTGTTAATACACCCCATAATGATATTAGCCTTTTTTTTTGCAACGGCATCACCCTACTGACTCATATTCAATGCGTGATCCACTAGAACCCCCAAGTCTTTTCAGCAGTACAACCACCTAGCCAGTTATCTCCAATTTTTTAGTTATGCATTTGATTTTTCCTTCCTAAGTGAAGCACTTTGCACTTCTCTTTATTGATTTTCATCTTGTCGAACTCAGACCAGTTCTCCAATTTGTCAGTGTCATCCTGCACTGCGATCCTGTCCTCAAAAGTGGTTGCAATTCCTCCTGGCGTGGTGCCATCTGCAAATTTTATAATTTGTCATCTGCTCCACTCTGTTATCCAATCATCCCTGCTGGCCTTAAAAATCTATGAAAAAGGGATTATCTCTAGAAGGAAGTGAGATTGACAGGAGAGGGAAGTGAAAGATAGAAAAATCTTACAGGCACAAATCAGAAAGCTTGGGCAGCATAACTGGGTCTCACCCCACATCAGCACACGTGCAAATCTTACCTGGGTCACAATAGCATCAAGGCCGCTCTGTCCCCATGCATAGTCGCCTGGATTGGAGTGCAGCATTCCACTCCTGCAGATAGAAGCAAACAGTTAAGGGAGCGATTTTGTCAACCTCAATACAGCTCAGAAATGTTCTTGCACTGAAATTCAAACAAACACCAGCAGGATTTATACAGCACATCATCCTGTGGGATCCCAGAGATGAAGCCGTTCAGCTGGGTACAGATCTGACAGCACAAGACATTGTGGAGTGCCGTTTATCGCATAGACACAACAGATTTGCAGCACAACGCTTGTTTATTGCAACGATCTGATCCAAGGAGGTGGTGCTAAACGCTGCTCGCTACTCACCAGGAAAAAGGGTGCTGTGAGCCTGGGATTGCTGAGTTTGCAAAAAACCCTGCAAAGATCTGCTGTATTATTCTGTTAAGAAGAAAGGGTAAAAAAAACAAACAAAAACAAAAAAACAAATTGAGCAAACAGGCTAGGACAAAAACATAGGCAAGCAACAACATTTTAGTGAGAGAAGGACAGTGAACCACTAGCTCCTCCCAAAATCAACGGGTCCCTCCCTCAGAAAGCCACACTTTTTGGGAGCGTTTGTTGTACATCTTTCCTCCAAGGGTGAGCCAAGACTGCCCAACAGACGGGAGGAAGGAAGCGTGTTTAAAGCAATGCAAACTTCTCCGAGATGGTGCCAGGGGTGGGGAAGGGAAAGCAAAGGGTTGAGATTTCCAGGACACCGATTCTTTTTCCCTACCCCGATAGCTGTCATTGCTGTGGGGACAGAGATTAAAGGAGGAGGAAGTGGAGAGTGAAAAATATTCGACTCCGAGTCAATAGTTTTCACTGATTTTGGGGGGAGAATGTGGGTTTTTAAATGACATGCCCTGGATCCAAGGAGTTATGGGAATGGCAGGTGTGGCAAGTGAACGAACACTCAGAGTTAAAAACCTGGACCTGTGTAAAGGATTTTAGGCACTGGAATACCTAACTGATTTAGGAGCCTAAATCTCATTTTCAAAGGGGATTTAGACACTTAGGAGCAAAAATCCCATCAACTGTCAACATGATTTGGTTCCTACGTGTAAATCCCTTTTGAAAATGAGATTTAGGCTCTTAAATCAGTTAGGCACTGCAACGCTGAGCCCAGCGATGCGGAAACACCTTTCAAACTCTGGGCCCTAGTCTCTAGGGATACTCAGCGGATCAAAGCCAGTCTTCCTGCACCTGCCACAGCACCAGATGCAGGACCAAGACCTCTTACTGTATTAGCTCTCAGCATCCTCTGGGCCAACCACGCTCCCATCCGGGGGTTAGGAGCCAAAGAGACTATTCCAATCCCTTCTCTCCTCCATAGCACCAGTCCTGCCTGCCTCCCGAAACAAGAGCTCTTGTACCTCCCGCAGCATGCCCCGCGACCCCAGGGGCAGCCCCTTCCCCAGGAATGGGCGGCAGGTAGAGCGGGTTAGGATGGAAGGAAGAAGGTGGATTCCCCACTGATGAATGGAGTGCCAATCTGTGGCTTTGTCTAGGTAAGCACTCTGACCCAATACTCCCGCCCGCCTCCAAATCTAAGGACCCGCCCCATGCCCAAGGCGTTAAGAATTAAGACGACAGCGGGGCCAACTCCACAATCTAATGGGAGGGCACCACACTGCCGTGCAGGGGTTCGGAGGTCACGACTCGTACGTGTCCTTGTTCCCAGACTGGTAGCACTACTGGGGCACCCCAGAGGCAGTGGGCCCAATGCCTCTCTTTAGCAATCCCAATTCTGGAGTGGCCCCAACAGGCTTTACGAAGGACCCAGTCATCCACAGGGGGGAGGGGGAGGGTCAGTCTGCTGAGGGGTAAGGCTCGGGGAAGCCTGGCGGCTCAAGCAGGAAGGAGGCCCGAGATAAGCTGCAATAAGTACACTGAAAGTCTCGTCACTTACCCTTCAATAGCAGGAGACCTGTCTGGACGTGAGCTGCCCCGGGATCTGTACCTCCGTGTCATGGGCAGCCGCGGGGGTCTGCTTGGTCCCCAGAGATCCGCATGTGCTTGATGGCCCCTTTCGTTGTCTCGGCTGTCTTGATCCAGCGAGCTGCTGCTCAGAAACGGTCTGAAGTCTGGGAATAACATTGTGTGGTCCAAGTGGTCCCAAAGCTGTTGAGAAGCCAAAACACATGCAACACACGTGCACAGGCTGTTAGGGCAGGAAAGGAAGACCTGCTTTAAATACAGTTCAAGAGGGATTGGATGGGTCAAGGGATCAGTAGCGGACATGGGAATCTCTCTCCTCTTGATCATTGGCTTGACTCTAACATAGGTCGATAGAGACTGAAAGCTGTTGCCACTTGATGGTGGCTCACGTTCAGTAGCCTATGGAACGAGCAGGGAGGGGAGGATACCACTCCTAGGGTGACAGACAGACACCCCCACCACACCCCTCATTACTAGCCTCAGCAGAGGCCAAGACTGACTAGGCCACAGAAACCCCCCAGGGCAGAACAGAGGCTCAGGGTGAGAGCAGCATAAGGACAGCAGCGCTGCCGTTATCTCTTCTAGGGTTAGACAGAGGACTACAATCTCTGAGGCTGCAAATCTGGACTCTTTCTCCAGTGTGATGGATTTTAAGATTACTTCTAGACCAAAAGGTGAGGTTTCTTCTGTTCCAATGGAGACAGGACCCAGAGGGGAAAATATCGGACGCTCGTAAATGCAGGGCTAAACAGCAGAGGAGCTGTGGTTTTCTAAAGGCCCTTTAGAAATGAACCGTATACCAGTGACAAGTATTAGTCTGACATCCCTGAAGACCGACAGTCTCTATTCCCAGAGCAGGTACTGCAAGGGCAGAACAAGTTTTCCCCACACACCGCTCCCTGCCCTATCTGTATCCCCGTAGCGCCTAGAGACCCCATACAAGATCAGCTGCCAGGTGCTGTACAGACACATAGTAAGCGCCACGTGTTGTAAGCTCTTTGTGACAATGCTGTCTACGCAGACAGACAAAGGCTGGCGGGAAAACAGGCACAGAGAAGGGAAGTGAATTGTCCGAGATCATCGGGGGGAGGGATAGCTCAGTGGTTTGAGCATTGGCCTGCTAAACCCAGGGTTGTGAGTTCAATCCTTGAGGGGGCCACTTAGGGATCTGGGGCAAAATCAGTACTTGGTCCTGCTAGTGAAGGCAGCGGGCTGGACTCAATGACCTTTCAGGGTCCCTTCCAGTTCTATGACATAGGTATATCATGATCATATAGCAGGTCTGCTGAGTCCCAGTCCAGTGCTCTACTCACTAGGCCATGCTGCCTATCTGATAAGTAATCAGGGACTCACTACACAGAAGGTACCAAGCGGCAGAGGTCAGCAGTGGCCAGAAGCCATTGCTACCCAACGGGATATGCTGCATGTCAGCAGTCTGAGAAGGCCAACCCCATGGACAAATGAAAGGCCTCCATCTGCGCAGGCTACTGTGGTCTGCAGGCTACAGATTACCTCTGCCTTTGAAGCTGCAATCGCTGTGACAGAAAAATCCTCGGCGTACTGCAAAACGGGCCAGCAGGGTTATACCAGGCCTGGGGAACCGGACAGAAGGAGGCAGCAGGGCTGCTCTAACCCCGAAGTCGGTTAATTAAGAGCTGCCTTTCGGGAAAACTTTGTAAAACGTCGAGCAGAGCAGGGGGAAGAAACAAAGTCATCCTGAGAAAAGCAATTTAGCACATTTAGATTGTTTGCCAGACATTTTCTGGGAACCATGGCAACCAGCTTAATTTAGCCCAAACTAATCAGGTGCATCACCCCCAATTAGACTAATTTGTTGATTCTTTCCTGGCAGATTTATGCGCAGCTATCAAAGCAGACTACATGTTTGTTTTAGTAACTTACATAGCATTCATCCTACTTAGCCAGAATGGAGCTAAATGCAGTTCTCAAAGCGCTGGCCTAGTGGGTGTCAGCGTAGCCTAGCAGATGGAGCACTGGACCAGGACTCTGGAGACGGGTTCTAATCCTGGCTCTGCCACTGGCTCAGTGCGTGACCTTGGGCAAGTCACTTTAACCTCTCTGTGCCTCAGTTTCCCCATCTGTACTTACCTTCTTTTTAAAAGTGCTTGAACAGCTATGGGGGAAAATAGATAACATTATAGGTGCCTCCGGCAAAGAGGGGGTGAGGAAAGGAAGGAGCAGATGAAAAAGGCTAGGGGAGAACTAATCGAAGCAGAAAAGCCTTGCATCTAACCTTCAAACCAGCTGCAGAGGGGCCGTGGTGGATACACGTAGGGAGATAACACCAGGCCATGAAAGTCTCATGTTCAGCCAGTTCCAGATGGAACCTCGGTGTATCAAAGAGATGGAATGAACACGATCGCCTTGGACCGAGTCGTAGAGAGATAGTCGCTCATGTGTTCTTCCCAATCAGCTGATAAAGGTCCAGGGAGAAAGTAGCTGTTCTTTTCTCTTCCTGACCTTGCAGCAGAATATTTATTAGCTTTTCTGCCAACGGTAGGGGAGAGCTGCAATGCTTCCGCTCCCTTCACTGCACTAGGTTTACTGATCGAATGTGTAAAACTAAAGCATTTTGTTTTAACACCGATGGAAAAAAGACGTCTTGGTGGGATGTGGGGGAGGAGGGGTTTCTGGTGGGTAGAGCAGAGGACGAAGAGCTAAGCCTCCATAACATCCGCTGCTCATTGTGTGACCTTGGGAAAGACACACCGCCTCCCTGTGCCTCTATTTCTCCATCTGTAAAATGGGGATTCAACCTCCCTCGCAGAGGGCGATGTGAATCAGCATGTGACTAATTAGCATTAGATCTGAAATCCTCCAACGCCAGGTTCCATAGAAACAGAAGAGCACATTTTGCTCTTAGCTAGGACAACAGGCTTCTGAGTTCAGACCACAGACGACAGCTGTGGTGATAATGGCCAATCGTCTAGGTCAGACAGCGCGACGTATTTTGTAGGACCCACTGATCCGTTTAAGCCCAGCTTTCTGGCCGACAACAAACAGTAGCTTGTTCATTCTGCAACAGGTTAGCTGGCTCATTAAGCGAAACTGGGCTCAGCTCTCCAGATCCGGTCCAGGAGCTCCCTGTTGGGCCCACTGAGAGGGTGGGGCAGCACCTGACAGGCTACAAAAGGTCATTGAGAAGTCAGAATAGGGGAATCAGGCAGGGGAGGAGAGCTGCTGGAGAGATGGTGGTTCCTGGGAGAAAGCGGAGACAGGGGAGCAGCACACGGGGTTTGCTGGCTGGTGTTCCCAAGCCAGAGGACCGAAGGCAGGGGGAGCAGTAGAGGGAGATGTCTGCTGGCTCTACACCAGAGCCAAGGGCCAGAGAGGGCGGAAGGCAGGGGGAGCAGGAGAGCGGCTTACCCGCTGACATCTCCTTGCTGGAGAGCTGGAGCCGGAGGAAGGGAGAGCGGGCTGGGGGAGCGAGGGATGCTCCCAGCAGAGAGGCTGGGAGAGATGCTGCTGGGAAGAGCAGGGTTGCCCCCCAAAAGGATGGGCAGGGTTTCTGTCCTGACAGAGGGAAAGAAGAGGACAGCTGTGACGGAAGACGCTGGGGTATGATAAGAACAAGGACTAGATGCACTGGGGTGAGACAGACTAAAATTTTGGGACCTTTGTTACAGACTATTTGCAGAAGCATTTTGTAATGAATACCACCCCTCTTGGGGGCCAGTTTAAGTAAGAGCCTGAAGTGGAGTCCTCTGAGTTACCCAAGAGGGAAACTGAGGCAAGGGGCCACTTGCAGGGGTGCCCAGGAGGGGGCCCACTTGTTTATACCACCACCAGTGCATGCTCCATTCGCTCACACAGCTGCTGCTTTTGCTGTCGAAACCCACCTGTTCCTTTACTAAACTGAACAGCTGTCGGTTCCGTGACAACCCCTTAGGTAAGCCGAGACGCTCGGCTCAGGTGTGCTATTTGCATAGGACTCGAGCTTTCAGGGTAGTCAATGAAATTATGCAGCACAATTGGCTTGATTTCCTTGGCTTTTCACCCGCTTGCAGGAAAGAAGTGGGGCGTATAGAGACAGCCACGAAGCCAGGGAATCTCCCCGTTCTCCTCTCCTGGACCTCTGACGGCATCGTTCAGAACTGAAAGTGCTAACTGGCAATCTTAGGCTGCAAAACCAGTTTTGTTTTATTGCATTTTTAGAAAGCCTCTTCGTGATTAAACAAGCCTGCGGTTCAAAATAGCACAGTTAGTAGCAACTGATGCTCTGTTACTATGAGGGCACAGAAGATTTTATAAGATTTTTATGAAAGATTTCAGAATGTGTAAGCAAGCAAGTAGTGTCAGACAAGAGAGCTACCTGTGTGAAGCGGGAGCAGTTGGCATTTACACTGGATAGACCAGTGTCAGGTGATCTAGACACATCGCTATAAAATGACATTAGATACAGCTGCATTTTGAGATGTATCAAAAGAATCAGATACTACAGAACATATCGTAAGACGGAAATAGAATAATCTCAACATATTTACTATCCACATTTTACTGACACCTCATCAGCCTGGGGTCTGAGTGGAAAACCGCAGCTTTATTTTGTGTCTCTAAGTAGCTCAGTTTACAAGATCTTTATGCCTACTCGTTCAACTCAGCATCAGAGGACGAGGGGAAGGAGAAGAAAAAATAAAATAAAAATCAAGATTATGATCTGCTTTGTGAATCACCAAACACACACCCCAGAATCAGAACTGAGCTGGAACTTTTGTTGAACAGAATGCAGCTACGCTCGCCTGCAACCCCGTCAAGAGCAAAAGCGTCTTTCATCCTGAACACCATCCCAAAGCTCTTTGTGAACTGTCACACAAAATACAAGCAAAGATCACTTTATTCACTGTCATTGCTGGAGTAGACCACGGCAGTTTAATAGCACACAGCAGTGGTTTCATTTAGATGGATACTATATTCAGCTGAAACTGCAGAGGGGAATTGAGGCCCTGTGTACACTAGCGAGCTTACAGTGGCACAACTGTACCGATGCAGCGGTGCCGCTGTAAGATCACTCGTGAAGGCGCTCTATGCCAGCAAGCGAGAGCTCTCCCGCCGACATAATTAAACCACCTCCGACGAGTGGCAGTAGCTCTGTCGATGGGAGCACGTCTCCCGCCAACATAGCGCTGTCCACACCGGCGCCTGTCAGTGTAACTTACGTCACCGAAGGGGTGTTCTTTCACACCCTTGAGTGACATAAGTTACACTGACAAACGTGGTAGTGTAGACATAGCCTCAGATATGCAGATTGTAATTGATTGTAAGATGATTAAGGGCATGGAACAGTTTCCATATGAGGAGAAATTAAAAAGCCTGGGACTGTTCAGCTTAGAAAAGAGATGACTGCGGGGGCAGGGAGGATAGTATAGAGGTCTATAAAATCGTGACTGGTGTGGAGAAAGTGAATAGGGAAGTGTTATTTACCCCTTCACATAACACAAGATCCCGGGGTCACCCCATAAATTAACGGGCAGCAGGTTTCAAACAAACAAAAGGAAGTACTTCTTCACCCAACGCACAATCAACCTGTGGAACTCATTGCCAAGGGATGTTGTGAAAGCCAAAACTATAACAGGGTTCAAAAAAGAATTAGATAAGTTGATGGAGGATAGATCCATCAATGGCTATTAGCCAGGATGGCCAGGGATGCAACCCCATGCTTTGGGTATCCCTAAACATCTGACTGCCAGATGCTGGGACTGGATGACAGGAGACGGATCACTTGCTAATTGCCCTGTTCTGTTCATTCCCTCCCAATGCACCTGGCACTGGCCACTGTCAGAAGACAGGATACTGGACTAGATGGACCCAGTGTGGCCGTTCTTATGTTTTTATCTTCTTCTGTCTCCCAATACTCCCGCCAGCGAGAGATGACTGGACAAGGCCACTTTTGAGTCCCATCACTGCTGTTCTTTGCTACATGTGGGGGAAAGAAGGGAATTGCAGGAGATGCACCCTAGATCATGCCTCTTTCACTCCCTCTGCATCTGTTGCCCCTGTCTCCTTGCACCATTATCTGCTTTGAGCCTTTGTCCTGCCATGCTCTGTGCTTGGAACTGTTCTGTTTGCATGCGCCAAGCCATCAACTTCAAAGCCCTCCTCAAAACCCACCACGTTCATGAAGCCTCCTATAGAGATCTCCTTAAAGACTACAGCTGTAGTCAATGGCACAACTCCCATGTACTGGGACCAAAATTTCACTCAAGGGGACGCTGTACCTTCTTGTTGTATGTGTCTGAGATGAGAGCAGAGATTCCATCTGTTCTGTAAAGGAGTGTGCCTCTACTCAACAAACAAAAAAAGCTCTCATCTAGCATGGCTTACGACTACACATTCAGCGTTTGAGACTATCTGCTGGAAAGCAAATAAGTCAGTCACACATCAATCTCCTCCTCCTATCAGTGTGTTCCTAGACATGCTTTCAAGAGTGTCATTCCCCGAATGTAAATTTTCATTCAAAAAAATTGCTAAAATCCAAAATAGATTTTTTGCTCAGCTAAGGGTTTAAAAAAAAAAAAAAAATCAGCATTAAAAGCAAACTCACCTCTGAAAACTGTGTGGATGGACTGTCGTCTATTCCACTGCCACTACCATCTAGAAAACTGAGGAGAAAACAGACTAGTCAGAGCCGGTTGTTGCTTTCAAAAATAAGCTCCCCCTTCTGGGGGTTAAATATAGACAGAAGCCAGTGTGAGCCAGACTCTCTATAAGGAACAAGACAAGGCTCCCATGTGGGCAAAAAAGGATGATCAAATGTGGTACGAGTTACTTTGTGGAAGGAATTAATCTATATATAACACACAGTGTCAGCCCAGAGGGGAAATGCAGGTAAAGCTGATGCGTCTGCTGAAAGAATAAAGTGACTCTACAGCGCACCAATTTAGGTTTCCCTTGTATGGAAAAAATATGCAAGATGTTTTAGAGAGGCTCCAATTCGGAGGAAGCCAGTTCACAAGAGAGTCACTGAACAGCGGTATAAATACATTTCCCTCGGGCTGCTAGATTCGCATTTGTGCTTCACTGTAGCTGTTTATTTCCTTCATGCCGTTCAGAGCAGCTCACTGGTTTATTTGGATATTTGGCACTTTGTCCCCTCCCGTAAAACTCCCTCACCACACCTACTAAACTGAAACTGAAAGCGTCCTGTGCTTAGCTCTGCACCACAAACCATGGCATTTTGCAGAGTTTGTCCAGGGAAGGGTGCTCACAAGGGTGAAAGGGCTACTCAGTTCCAATGCAAACATTCCTAACCACAGAGCCAAGCAAAAACATTGGGCTTCATTTAATTACATTTTTATGTTCATTTGTTAACTGCTAGGAATATCTGTGTTCAAAAGGGACAGTGACTCACATCTTCCCAGTGCAACATGTTACATGGCTTTCCTGCTTCGGGAGCCCTGAGACATCAGACCTTAGTTACCATTCCCACTCCAAATAGCACAACTTTCTCAGCAGTGGCTCAGGACTGAATATAGTAAGTGCCAGACTAGCATATTTTGCAGTCCCTAGTTGTTTGTAGGCAGCGTGTTCTACTTGATAAAGAACTGGACTGTGAATCAAGAGAGCTGGCTTCTATTTCTGGCTTTGCTACCAAATCGCTGTGACCCCTTGGGCACAGTCCCTGAATTTCCTCGTTCATAAGACACGGAGATCAATGGATGAAAACTGCTAATTGTCATTTAAATCCCGACAACTAGCACATTAGAAGGAGCAGAGCGTCAGGATACACAGTCTGCTTTATGCAATCAGAGGAAAGGCGGAGTCTTGTTCAAACATGATTAATCAGCCGTGTTTAATCAACTCACACACAAAATAAGGTTCTACACGTCTCCAAAGAGCTCACCAATACAAAACATCTTTGAAATAGGCACCATATAATGAGTTACACCATCATTACTATTAAGTGGAATATTAAATCAAGCCGTATTATATGGCATTAGACCAAGATTTTGCTCCACCTAAAACCTGGTCAGGATTTGCGTTGCAAATCAACGTTCCGTCTCGCCTACGTTTTTGCCAGAAGAGTGCTAAATTAGTACCTAGCAATGCTACCCCCCGACCACCAAATTAGTTTCCATTAATAAAATAGCAGCCGCTCTATAGCGCTCTGTATGTTCAAATATTAATCAGTCCCAACAATCCCATTAAATATTATCCCCGTTTTAAAGTTTGAGAACTTGAAGCAGAGGCACGAGGAGACTTTTTTGAGGCCACAAAGGGAGTCGGTGTCAGAGCAACGCACTCGAGTTCTAATCCGGATCCCCAGTTCCATACTTCGACAGTTACGCTTCATTATAGCGGCCCATAAGAAAGACGCAGTCGTGCGGGGAAAGTTATCGCAGCAATATGGCTTTTGCTGAGCTTTGCTAATAGAGAGGAGGGATGGTCTAGTGCAGAGTTGGGCAAACTATGGCCCGCGGCCCACATCTGGCTAGCTCCCGGCCCCTCCCCTGCTGTCCCTCCTCCCCCACAGCCTCAGCTCGCCATGCCGCCAGCGCTCTGGGCAGCGGGGCTGCGAGCTCCTGCTGGGCAGTGCGGCGGCATGGCTGGCTCCGGCCAGGCTGCGAGCTCCTGCTGCTCTGAGCGGCATGGTAAGGGGGCAGGAAGTGGGGGGGGGGGTTGGATAACAGGCAGGGGGTCCCAGGGGCAGTCAGGGGACAGGGAGCGGTTGGATGGTGCGGAGGGGGCAGTCAGGGGACGGGGGGGTTGGATAGGCGTGGGAGTCCCAGGGGGCCTGTCAAGGGGCAGGGGTGTGGATAGGGGTTGAGGCAGTCATGGGACAGGGAGCAGGGGGGGTTAGATAGGGGGTGGGGTCCCGGGGGGGGCGGTGGTTCCCAGGAGGGGGTGGTCAGGGGAGTTGGATGGGTCGGAGGTTCTGAGGGAGGCAGTCAGGGGGCAGGAAGTGGGAGGGGGCAGGGGCCAGGCTGTTTGGGGAGGCACAGCCTTCCCTACCCGGCCCTCCATACAGTTTTGCAACCCCGATGTGGCCCTCGGGCCAAAAGTTTGCCCACCCCTGGTCTAGCGGTTAGGGAGCTAGCTGAGAGACCAGGGTTCAATCCCCTCTTCTGGCACAGACTCCCTGTTTGTGGCCTGGACAAGTCACTTAGGTCTAACCCCTAGCCCTAACCCCCGGTGTAGACACTACTAGGTAGATGGAAGAATTCTTCCATTGACCTACATACTGCCTCTCGGAGAGATGGACTAACTACAGTGATGGAAAAACCCCTTCCATTGATGCAGGAAGCGTCTACACAACAGTGATACAGGAGCACCGTTGCAGCACTGTAGCTGCGATGCGCTAGTGTAGACACGCCCTTAGTGTCTGTGTCTCAGTTCCCTGTCTGTAGTGTGGGAATAACAGCACTGCCCCACTTCACAGGGGGTTTGGAGGATAAATAACTTTAAAGAGTAAGAGGTGCTCAGACACTGCAGTAATTAAAGTAGCTTAGATGGAGAGAAAAGGTACTTTTAACCTTCATACCTGCAACCACAAAGGTTTAAATCTCCTCTCGCTGAACTTGCCTAATTGGCATTACAATTATATCCCCAAATCCATAACAGCACTCATCTACCACAGTGGTTCTCAACCTGTTGTCTGTGGAGCCCTGGGGGTCTGCAGACCATGTCTAAGATTTCCAAAGGGGTCTGCACCTCCATTCAAATTTTTGTAGCGGTCCACAAATGAAAAAGGGTTGAGAACCACTGATCTACCGGACACAAGCAGAGACTAACCTCACAATTTCCACTTCTTTATTAAGGGGCTTCCTTGAAGTTCTCCTTGTCAATATCACTCCAGTGTCACAATAACTGTTTGTTTGTTTTACTCTGGGGAGATGAGTGTGTTAATAAGTGTTCTATAACTGTCACTGCTATCAGTTGATATAAATAGGTCCTGTTTTAATTTTGCACCCATTTTCCCTTATTTTATGTACAGCACTTAAATGCCTTGCGATACACAACTTACAAATTGATTACAAATATATATTAGCAATTGACCTCACACATTCATGAGCATGTACAATACCTGGAATCATCTGTCACTTCTTCAATAAAGCCAGATTCACATCTGGGGCAAATGTACTCCTGCAAAGAGAGAAAAGGGAAGTCTTTAGCCACATGATGCTCAGTTTGCAGATGCAGGCAGGAAATACAGTGCCCAAGGTGAAGCTCAGAGGCACCGCATGTGTGATTCTGACTTCGATTCTGAATTTTTGTTTCCCCTGCAATAAAAATACAGACTTTGCACCTCCGTGACATCTTATCAGGAGATCTCAAAGCACTTTAAATAGGGTGGGTATTATTCCCGTTTTATGGCTGAGAGGTGCCTTTCCCAAGGTCACACAAAGTCAGTGGCAAATTGGAAAAAAATCAAACCCTCTGTTTCCTGACTCCCAACCCCTTGCTCTAACCAGTAGACTGTGCTACCTTCCTCTCAGTTTAGGCTTGACGTTCTTGAAGTCCTTTACAAGCTATGCCTTATATTTGTGAAAGCAGCTCCCAGCTGAGATCAGGGGGGAAAAAACCCAATAGTTAAAGAGATTCAACATCCATATCACGTCACATTGTATGCTATTAGAACAGGAAGAATTGGAAGGAGCTAGACTGATTGTCCCTATTTGTTTAGGTCCTTTGGTTATGTCACTCATGTGATCCATTTTATTCATCCATCAAGTGACTAGAATATCTAAGGCACAAAGGTGCTATGATTGGGTGTAAAATGCTTAGACAGTCTCAGATTAATCGACATTAGGGAAGGGCAAAGTAGATTATAATAAACTATCGGTTGGAGATGTACACTGGGGTAGTTTAACTGGAAAGCAGATTTTCTGCTTCTTACAGAGCAATTCCACAGCTCAGCGTTGGTATCTCCGTGGTGTCTGGATGCTCCGCCACAACCCGCCTGAACACGGTCTTTATCTATCAGCAGCAAACCAGCCTGGATAACTCCATTTAAGAAGAGTGCCATTTAGAAGCCTACCGAGAAGCGCTGGGAACTTTGATAACAGGCCTCAGAGGAGGACTGCTTCAACTGCCAATTGACAGCGACGGTGACAGAAAAAAAAGCCACTTCAATTAAAGAGGTGCCAGAAAGCAGCTCTTTCAAACGCCGCTCTGACGCTGCGCTGGCCCTCCTGTAGTGAGCACTGCAGGAATTTACAGGCGCGTCACTCTGCAATTATCAAAGTCAGAGCATAAACGGCTTTGTCATCTCTTTTTAAAGCCACTTTCATAGAAGGAGATAAGAGAAATGAGCTGGATTCACTCAGTCCGCCGACCAGATGCCAGCTCTGCCTGGTATTCGGTTTTCTCATTGACTACGCTGTCCCTTTACAAGCCTGAATTATGCAGACTGGAAATTTTTTAAATCCACGGCCTCATGTCTGTCTCCTGCTGCATGTTGCCCTGTTCCCTTACCTGAATGGCCACACAGAGCTATACCCCTTTAAACCCCCAAAATATTAACCATGGGACTCATGCATCCACCTTTCCTACTACAAGCTCAACCATGACATCATCCTTCTCAGTGCTCTGTACACAAGGCAGGAAGCTGCAAGACCAGAAGCACGTAGTTCCTGGGAGGTCACCATCAATGCAGGGGGGGGGGGGGTTTGCGGGGGTGCCAGAGGTGCAGCTGCAAAACTTTCAAGAACTGGGGAATCCAGAGGTTCCCCAGTCATATGAAGTTAGGCAAACGCCCTGCTAAGGATATCAATATAAAGTTAATGGATGCATCCGTTATAGGAAAGAGATTTTAAAAAGCAGGTTTTCGTTTATGTGCTGGAAGAAATAGGAAGCTCCACTTATATCGTTTATCCAGGTAGCTGGAGTTCCTCTAATGACTGGGTAGATGTGCTCCCCATTTTGGGAGTCCTGGGGAGAGTGCATAATCTAAAAGGAAGGATGCGCCTGCGATTAACGCATGCAAAGGAGAGACAAATCTAGGTTCCCAGCTGTGGCATGGGCTTGAGAGACTCGGAGCAAAACATTTCCATTCCCTGGGCATCAGTGTCCCCATCTGTAAAATGGAGACAATATTGCCCCCTATTTCTCTGGGATGAGGAGATTATGAGGTTTAATTCATTAATGTTTGTGATTGGGGGGGTAGGGATAGCTCAGTGGTTTGAGCTCATTGGCCTGCTAAACCCAGGGTTGTGAGTTCAATCCTTGAGGGGGCCACTTAGGGATCTGGGGCAAAATCAGTACTTGGTCCTGCTAGTGAAGGCAGGGGGCTGGACTCGATGACCTTTCAAGGTCCCTTCCAGTTCTAGGAGATGGGAGATCTCCATTAAATTATTTTTTTATTTTTATTTATTTTATTTATAAAGCTCTTTGAGATCCTAGCATGGAAGCTGCTTCAGAAAGGTAAGGCTGACCTAAAAAATTAAGGGGGCAAAAGGAGTCAGGGATCTAATTCCCACTGACTTTCAACCTTAGGCCCCTTTGAAAATACTCACCCTAATTGATGAAAAATCCCTCAGCCACAATGATTTTCCATGACTTCCTGCCTCAAGCTATGCTTGATCATGGACCCAGTCCTGCAAACCTTCCCTTCAACGGACGCAAGAGATCTCACTAAGCGCTGCTTGGTGTCCACCCTGCATTTCCGGAGCGAGAGGCTAGCAAAACCAAATACGCTCCAATGCCTGTTGCCTGTATCGGGACCCCTCATCACCAGGCTTCAGGCAAGGGTATGGCAGTGACACAACACATGTTGCCTTGGTGGATACCCTCCTGCTGTCTGTATTAGGGTGACCAGATGAGAGGAAGAAAATATCGGGACCCGGAGTGGGGGGGTGAGGGGGGGGGAGGGACGCCGCCAGCGGATCAAAAAAAAGCCGATCCTGCCGCCGGCGGAGAAAAAAAACAAAACAAACAAAAACTGCCGGCGGAGCAAATTATCGGGACAAATTGCGTCCCGACCGATCTCTGGGGACAAATTATCGGGACCGATTTTTTTGGTGTTTGTCCATAGTCTGTATAGACCCATGCTCACCCTGTTGGACTTTCCTGAAGCATCTGACACTGCTGATCACCAAATACTCCCATCCTGCCTGCAGGGACGAATAGAGACGTCCCAAAATGGGGGTTCTCAGACTGAACCCCCACCGGCTCATTATGGGAAAGTGTTTCTCCGCTTCCAGTCATGATTTGTGGAGTTCTGTACTCTCCCCGCATCTTATCCAGCGGGCATGCAAAGCGGTCGGGAAAGCTTGTAGACGCCACAGGCTGCAGCAGCACGTAAACACCCAGCTCTGCATCCCCTTTACGCCCAGCATACAGAGCACTTTCTCGGCTTTCGCAATACCCAGCTGAAGATCAGCAACGAGGAACTTTCAGGGGGGAACCCAGGCAAGACTCTGGCGATGCTAGCATGGAAAGGAAAGTGATTCAAAGAACCTGCCTCCTCTATAAACAACCTCGCTTCCAGTGATTGCATCTGCCCTGAGAAGGTGAAGACACCTGCTAGCATCTGTGACTGGCCAGAAGATCACACTCTATACCAACACACACGGCAATCCATGCATTTGTGAATAGAAATTAAACACAATGAGGATCTAGCCCAGAAGATGCCAACTGGTTTAAATCAACAATGCTATGGAGCTGCACTGATTTACAACAGCTGAGGATCTGGTGGTCCCTTAAGCCCAACACTTAAAAAAAAAAATGCAGAGGTCGGCAAATAGAAGCAATCTGTCAATGCTAATACAATGTGATCTTTCAAATATTTCACTGACCTTACATACAGCAATGCCCCCTAACATACACAGCCTCCACCAAACGCTGACTTCCTCAAATATCAGTACACATTAAGGCCCATTGTATGCACGGTCTGAAAACCTTGTGCAAGCGGTTGTACTTTGGTATTCACCTTCAATCTGAAACCCCCTTGGACATGTACCCAGATTCTGTTTGCGATGTCAGATACTGAGGGTGGGGGGAAACTGCTGTGTCAGGACAAGGGAGAAGTTCTGAAAGAGTTTAATAGGATAAATTATACTCCAAGAGAGCGCTCAGCCAGTCTAAACGCAGCTCACTCTGCAATTTGCGACTAACATCCGTCGGATTTGATGGATGAAGGCTTGTCACAATATCACAATCTAGCCTCTTGGCTGAGGCATGAACCAGGACTGGCATTTTGGCCCTGATCCTGAAAGCTGTCCCATGCAGGTGTATCCCTTTGCCCTTGCGGAAGGGCACTGGCGTTAATGGGGCTCTCTCGCAGGGGCAAGACTCCACTCCATGAAGAACAGCGAGCTCCATCGGGGTTTCTTTACAAATCAATCCATTCTAGTTCAAAGACATTAGAACAGACTTTTTTTTAAAAACACGTATTTAAGTACTGTTCCGTAAAGTGAATCGAGCACTTGTGACGGGCGCTGCATTGACAGCCCCAGAGACGGACAGAGAGATCCAGCGCAGACAGCAACTTCCTCCACACTGACCCAAGTCTCACATTTGACATGGTAGGAGCCTCCTCTAGAGACAGGATCAGGTTTCCAGTTCTTAGCCTCTCCTCCACGACTGCCAAGTAGGGATGGGATTTTCAAGGCTTAAGGGAGTCAGGCGCCCAGCTTCTGTTGATGGTCAAGGAAAGCTAAGCATCTAAGACCCCTTTCAATATCCCAGCCTTGGGTGCCAGTTTGTGCCAGCGTTTTTTCTCCTTTAGACATTTGGTGGTCATAGTCCAGGATTCTAGTTTCCAAGTTTACCCCAGATGGGCTAAGGAACAACCTTGGAATGTTTCCTAAATTTTAAAACTCACTTTAAAATAACAGAGAGCATTTCAACTCTGTGGCAAAACCTGGCTCCCATGAGGGCAAGCTAATCAGCTGTTTACCCTGAGGAAAAACAGGCAATGACCTCATAAAACAGCCTAAGCTACTGTTTATCCCTTAAATAACAGGGGGTAAAAATTTGGCTGCAAGCTTAAACATTCTGGCATCTGCTCTTACACTAGAGTTGTGGGGAATTCCTTTCTCCAATCCCCATCAGAATACTGATGAGAGAACGGAAAGCATTTAAGAGATTCCCCCTACCAATTCCTGGTCTTAAAAAGCTTATTTAGAAAGTGGCCTAGTTCT